AGGGAAGACTTTGGGGGGTCTCCTTTAAGTGCGAGCTTACAATGACGAGATTTTTATACAGTGGCGACTCATATCGTGGTTCCATCTTGTTCCGAGTGATGCTTCAAGTAAAGAGCAAGGGGGTTGTTCCAAGGAGCGTTCCTCGTAGGTTTCCCTGAAGCTGATGATCAATCAGAGCTTTCACATCAGTGTCCAGCGCGTGCAGCGATAGTTTTAGAGTCTTGTTGGAGGTTTTGTGTGCCTGGTTCTGGGTTTGGGAAAGTGGCTTCAAGGAGAGGCGTTCGTGTATGCAGGAAGCCTTATCTTCGCCCCTTTCACGGCACTGAGTCTTAATATCTTGCAGTCAGAAACGATATAGACGTCCTCAGCGAGCCCGGTGGTGCAGGAGAATATGATGGCTTCCTGATGGTCCTCAAATTCCCCAAAAATGCCGTGGGCCTGTTTTTGAAAAAAACCCTCCCAGAAGATACACGCGGGGCCCACCTTGTCAGCCTAGGCACCCGAAGCTCTTCCACAGCTTTTTGGAGAGGGCAGCCAAGGACTTGCAGTTTCTATCTTAAGGAGCTTGAATACTCATGTGAGCTATAGTCTAAACTCCTTATCTTGTAACTCTAATTCAGCTTGAAGACTTCGGCAGGAAAAGAAGCAGGTGGATGAGGACGAGGAAGTCGAAGAGGAGAAGCTGGGAGGCGCCGCAGACGAGACTGTAAGACTGATAATGTCAAGCCCTGATGGACGTAGAAGCCTGAATAGCTTGTAGTATCATATATGCTTGCAGGGTACTACACCGATGCGATGCCCTGGTGTAAACGCTGCGGTTGCAAGGTGTTGCTAGATGACTCCTGAACATCACAGCTAAGGGGCCGTGTGGTTTGGGGGTATCTGCATCAGGGCTGATAGGCGCCCCTGCCTCAGAAAAAGGACTGGGACTGCAGAGACTACTATAGGTTCCTAGAGATCCCGCCTGTGGCGGGTATATGGGTACACCCAGCACCGCCGAGAGCAGTTTCGACATCCCCGAAGGAGTAATAGATTTCAGCCACAGCCGCCATCCCCAAACAAATCGCGGCTCCAGGTTTCACTCTTGATGTTAAGAAAAGCCTGCATAACTTCAGTACACTATCAGTTATTATCATACCACCAAAAGGTTTGGGATTTCCATTTCATGCTCGATTTTCTCTTCCATTTGATTCGCCATTATTGGGGTGATAACCCTATACAATCCTTATACAACCGTGTATACTCCCTATATAACCCTATATTATAATCCCTGTTTCATTCTGGGCACTGACCAGGTTACACTCCAGCGTCGGCCGTCGCGGCCGAGATCGAAGCCTTCAAGCGCGACTCCTCGGAGGAGAAGTCCACATCTGAGGGCAGCGACTAGGGTACCTTAGGACTTAGGAAGCTTTCGGGCATCTCATTAGAACCCCATGACAGGTGGAGGGTATAGTATGGAAGAAGCAGTCGTGTAAACTTCGAACTACCCGCCTGTACTGGGCTTCTACATTCTGGGAAGTAGACGTAGCTCACGGACCCTGGCAGAGCTCAAGGCTCAGCTTGGGTTCCTGAACATGCGGACAGAGCACATGGCCCATTGGGGAGAGGCCAAAAGAAACTTCTGAAAATAGATTAGTAGTCCTAGGCACTCTTCAAGCTTCGCATAAGAGAAGAATGTGCAGTTCTCTGTTGCGATGATTGCTTGCGGCCAAGTGCGAAAGGAGAAGATTGAGCTTGCGCTCACCTACTTAGGTGCACAGCCGAGGCGCAGATTTCGGATTTCGGAGCCAGGACAACTGATCCGTTTGGTTCCCAAAGCTCTTGCAAGGAACTCCTCTGGGCCATAAGCCAGGTGAGGGGGCTATTAAGATACCATTCCATTTTTCCAATAGAGGCGCAAGTATATATCTGGTAGGAACTTTATTCTGTACTTGTAGCTGAGTAGATACAGTTCACACTTGAAGGCTTCGATGATCCTGTTATCACAGAAGGTGTAGATTTCGAAAAAATGCCTAGGAGCTACTGGGACATGGTTGTCAGAACCTTATTATGCTGCATTACCATTACTGCTACCATTACTATGACGGCCACTACTATTACTGTTACTATCACTCTTATTATTGTAAGTGGGTTTGAAGAGACCTCACGAGCGTGCCCCGAGGGGGGCTCAAAATTTTCGGCGGGATACCCTTTTTTCAAAACCGGCCTGCTGCTCTCTGCTGCGAATGCGGCGAATTAACCCAGTTTTTGTACAGATAGGGAACACAGATTTTAAGTTCTTCTTGGGCGTCATGACAGGGCGTATGACTTATATGGACCATGCTCCAGGCCAGTCGGTTAGTCACTGTTGTTGTCAAACCATGACATGCCCAAAATACCAGTGCCATTTTTCGACGTTGATGTGGAGCCACCGGCCCTTGCCGCCTGGGCAAGAAGTGACTTGGAGTCTACTCAGAGTTTTTTAGATTTTTGTTATGACATTATCCTGAAAAAGAGACGAAGAGCATAGTTCCTAGATCGCAGGTGCTCCCTGCAAACCCCAAAGCCTGCAGGGCTTCAGGTGTAGGGTTTAATGCCTATTGTCCCCCTTAAGTAGATAGAATATGGCTTTGGGTATATTATAGTAATATCCCCATATACCCCATATTCTGTCTACTTAAGGGGGACTATATGTGTTTAGGGAAGCCTGCAAGCCTGAGGTTAGCCTGGCGCATCGCCGGGGTCTCACACCAAGTCTCTCATCGGCTTCCCGTTCTTTCCACAGCCAGTCCATGCGCTTCTGATCAAAAAACTGTGGAACGATGTGACATCTGGAAGACAAGACCTACCGCAATGATTCTGTTCATTATGAGGGCTTTGTGGTAGGTGTTGATAATGCCAGCCTGTTCCCTGTGAGAGTTTTTTGGGGTAGGGTTGAGTAAGACTTTTATATGGAGTTTGAGATAAGTCTTCATTCTGCAAAATGCTTGAGTGCTTGGGGCCTACAATCCTTACGGGGTCAGGGGGCAGGGAGTCAAGGATCCAGATTAAACGGCGGCATCCGCAATGCTAATGATGAGGGGGGGTGGGAGGTTCTATGGTTGGGCGAAGGATAAACCCTAAAGTGTGAACCCTAAATCCAAAATCCTAAACCCTGAACCCTAAACGGTTGGGGGGAATGAGGGTGCAACCAACCTTTCGCAAAGAACCAGTGCATATGTGCAGGTGTAACAGTCCTCTGGTTAAGTAAATAGTTGGGGGGAGGTTCGCGATTACTCCAAGGTTTGAGCCTGACTCGCAAGCAGACCGCGACTACCGGGCGAAGATGCGCGGAAGCCCGGGGGAAGGTTCTGGGAAACCTACACTAGGGTTTGGGGTTGGGGGTCACCCTAAACCCCTTGCACCCAAGATTTGCGAAGATTTGCGATTTGGGTTCAGGGTGTTGGATTTTGTAAATGTGTTGCAAGCTGGCTTGGATTTACGTGGTACTGGAGACTTTCCAGGGTTCTTGACCCAGCTTCTGAGCAACTGCCAATGCCCCACCGAAGGTATGTGCATGCGCAAAAAGGGTAGAGGGCTTCAGTGGTTGGGTGTTTAGGGTTTAGGGGTCAAACAAGCAGGGCCCATGAAATCTAGATTTTGGGGGATCTGTAGGGCAACGAAGGGGCCGGGGTTAATTGGAGTTTGCTGATGATGCATAGAAGCTCCTAGCTCTTGGCAAGGCTGCCGACTGAGGTAGGGCTTCGCAAAATAAGCTGTCAATCATACAGAATGTACCATCTCCCTGACTGGCTCGGCTCCTAAGGCAGATGATCAAGGAGGGTAAGAAGTTCGAGAAGGCCTGGCTTCCGAAGGAAGATCTGGTAGTTTCCCAAAATAGGGGACACCAAAATATTATAGTCCCCATTATAGGGACTCCCAAAATGGCACCCCTAACTTTGGGAAACCCCCCCATTTCAGTTTGCAAGAATGCCCTCAGAGTTCCCCACTCCTACCAGCTGCCCAGTCTTCAAGTGTGGTTGCCTCCGTTGAAACTCAGGCGTGTTACGTATGGGGCCATCCTTGTCAACGCTCTCCACGGTCTTCAGCTTTAGCATGTCCAAAATGAGGGTCAATTTGACCGGTTCTTGATCAATAGGGACATATGGGTTCTGTTGAGAGGGGTTTTCTGCATTTAAGGATAAGAGGGCGACAACAAAGGATAAAAAGACTCGAAAGAGGTTTCTTTGGAGGCAAAGTAAAATATGGGTTTAGGCCCTGGAATAGTGGAGAGTCAATATGGAAGGCTTCGACAAAAAGGGGATCCACTTACAGGGGTTATAGAGGACATGGGCTGAGGATTAGGGGTGAGGTAGACCAGCGAAATCTACGTGGGTTGCCTGAAATCTCCCCTCCAGGATGACGTTGGGGTATACTCCCCACATAATCAGCCCCATTTACCCCGTATATAACCCCCTCTAATAGTCCTATAGACTCCATTATGTAACGCTTATAAAAGCTCCCATTGGAAACTGGACTCCCCTCCTTTAGTTGCTTCTCGGCAACAATCGACAGCTTCAGTCAATCCCCCTTATAGTTGATAGGGCCTTAATATACCTACACTATAGTTTCCTGTGGTACCGATTACTGGGTGGGTGTTTGACCCAATGGACTTCAGCGTTTTCGCTTCCCCCTCTGAGCTGGACAGTCTCTACTCCAGAATCGGTCGGCTGCGTGGGCCCAAGAAGTTCCCCCATGGGGGCTGAGGGTTATACAGGGTTAGATGGGGATAATGGAAAAGAAAATGGAGACTACCCTTTAGGGTTGAGGTTGGTAGGGAGTAGGGAATATCTCATATAGGGAGTATTTTCCTTATTCTCTGTTCAAAACCGGTAAGTTCCTTATTGTTCGGAGGTTTAGGGTTTGCAAAAAGTGGTGATCAGCATTTATGGGCATGGTTCCCTATGATTAAGCTTTATAGAGTTCAAGGTTTCCAAAGGGTATGGGGTGCCCATGAGAAGGATTGTGGCACGTTGCCATGTTTCCATCTGATGGCTCTGAGCCTATTTGGTCGAGGCATCTTCCTGGTTATTCGGAGGTTCAGCAAACCCTAAACCCTAAAGCAAGTATAACCAATATCTGGTACTCAAGTGTCTAACATCTTCAGGATGCGCCTTAGATCCAGCCGCATTTCACAGAAACTGACTTGGAAGTGCTGTTGTAGACTCTAAGACATACCCTGTCTTGCAGCTATGGTCGCGCGACTTTGCCCCGAAGTAGTGACTGTGCAAGGACGCCCACTCATCAGTCTTTGGGTTCGGTTGTCATGACGGTGTGTTGGAGGCAAACAAGATCCAAAAAACGCAAAACACTGCGAAACCGCATTTTTGCCAACAGACATCGTAGCCGCTTTTTAGCCGAACCCTGTGGAATGCCGCTGCCCCCTTTTGGTACCTTTTGGTAGCCATCGTGCTTGCAGATGCTCCTTGCTAAAGCTTCTCGGATTCGATGAAAGACATTGTGCCCAAAGGGAACAGGAATGGCAAACGACATGCAGATCCGTCTGTGCTCAAAGATTGGACTTCCCTCAGAAACTTCTCCGAACTGCACAACGGCCCGGGGTGTCTGTTGGCGTGCTGGGTCTTTACATCAAAAGACCATATCCAAAGCTCACTTCTTGGAACTGATGATGTTCATCAGCTACTACATTACATAACCCCCAGAGCATAAATCTTAGACCCAGCCGTATGTGGTGAACCCGAAGCCTTGAACCCGATGACTTGAAATGAACTATGGTCCAAGATTCCTTGTATAGTTTCCGTTTTCTTTTCCACTGACCCCATATAAGCCCTCTAAGGGGACCTACATTTGTCTGACTGAGGTCGCGCAAGCCATGCTTGCTGCAGGAGGTGCGATTCCTGTCGAGGTAGGGATCCCAAACAGGGAGGAATCCAGGGACGCATAGGGACTGTAATATTGGCGTTATATAGGGGTTATATTGGGTTATGTAGGGTTGAGGTCCCGCTTCATATTCCGGGAGGGAGGATTTTGGCAAAGTCACGTTTTAGATCTGGCACCCTGAAACCATCCAAGACGTCTAGCTATCACCTCCTCCAAGTAGGAGAAACTGGATGCCAACAAACAAGTGGAACGTGGGTCCTTTGAACTCCCATCATTATATACATGTATATATAGGTGCAGCCTGGTAGCTCAGTCTTGTTCATTGCGTTGTGGGTGCTTCATCCCGCTAACGCTTGCGATGTATTATTGTGTGTTGCTGCTTTCCTTCTTTAGCAGGAGATGGAGGAATGGAAAAGAACATAGAAACAACAAATATCAATTATTCGACACTGGTTATCGGCTACTGTAGGCATTCATTCCTCCACTCATTTGACACGACGATTGCGTTTGGCCCGGGCAGGTTGCTGG